CAAAACACCGCCCATTCCTGTCATGGCGCCTCCTTTGACGTGGCGCCCGGTGCATTCGCTGCGCGTCGAAGCCGCCAAGCGCCGCAGTCGCGGCGCCGCCAGCGGCGAGGAACTGCGGCTGCCGGAGAAGGTGTGGGGCGGCACGGTGGAGGATCTGGAGGAATGGTGCCTGGGCAGCTGGAAACATGAAACGTATTGGATCTTCATTATTCATCATCATTACTGTTATATGATTGCTGGAAACATATTGGAACTGTTATCTTCATGATTCATCATTAATAAGTATTAGGTACTTGTCGGGATGGTATTCATGATGTTTATATAGCAACATTTCTTTTAATAAAATGTTGGATTCCATTGTTTCAAACGTGTTTCAATTGTAGCACCCCCCAAAAAAATGCCGAAAAATATGTTCAGGAGGATGACGTTTTTAGCCACAATTTGTGTGGGTTTCCAACTGTTCGGCATCATTTTGCGGGTGTAATGTAGTGAACCCAAGAATATTCTACCAATACTTCGTGATTGTATATTTGCTGTATACCCATTTTTGGCCATATTGCGGATCGCTCAGAATCATTTAGAATTATGGATGTCTGTGTTTAAGAATGCTTATAAAGCCACAGTGGGGATGGTCATACATTTACGTTAGTAAGTATTATAAAACACTCGATGGTGAATGTCTGCGACGCGGAAAGACGCAGGCTTGTTGTCATATGAAATCGCACCACTGGTGGAGATCCCCATTTCTTCTACCCTATTTGATTTTGCTTACAATCACCATTATAGATAGCCCTATTAAGACTTTTTTACACATTAGTGCCCCTAGATTTTCCCTTTTCTCGTATACTACTACATGGTCAATCATTTTTGTACGTGAGTGCAAAAGGATACCAAAAAGATGCCTTTTTTCTCGTGTGCCACGAGGATGGTATAGATGATGTTTTCCACATATTTTCCAGACTTCCAGCTTTTCCAATAGATATTCTCCTCCGGCAATCAAGCGTGGCGTGCCGGAACATCTTCCAAATCCGAGATGATTTTCCCAGATAGAAATGACAATTTTATGAGGGATTTCCCATTGCCATGTTTGACCGGAGAGTAGCCCCATTTTTCCCCCAGCTCCCCTGGCTTTCCGCCAAGGTTAGTGAAGAGCCACGGCTTCTCCGGTTCCCTGCGCCTGGGAGTGGATGGCTTCGCGCTGCTGCCAGGGGAACCGCTGGCGGCACTGCTGCGGGAGAAGGACGAAGTCATGGTGACCTGGGAATGGGATGGGGATGTCATGGGGAACTTTCAATCTAGAATATTTGGATAATATATGGTTGGATAGTTTCTTGATGTTTCTTGGATAGTTGGAAATTTGAGGGTTAAGTAAAAGTCGATTTTTGCATTGGTTTAGCTGAAAGATAGAGGGAATTCACCAAGGAGGTGAGGAGATAAGTGCCAGGGACGGTTCATCAATTTTCACCATGAAAAAATGGGAGCTTCAAAGGGACGAACGCAACAAGAGAGATTGGACCACCCCTGGAGTCACCTGCGACTTGGGGATTTGGGTCAACATTACGGATGTATTGCGGGTAGATCAGCAACAACACACGCGAATTCATTGAAAAGGTAGGGATTTGAGCCAGTCAGCATGGTCAAACAACAACATAGCAATTCTGGATATCACCCATCAAAATTTGTCTTGCTTGGTGAATGAAACTGGGGTTGACAAGGAAACAAATTGTGGACTTAAGCCACGCGTATCGCTCCTCATTTGTAGAGCGATGAATACATGTTGATAAAAACTGACAGCAATGGACGTATTTTTACCCCAAAAAAAGAAAAAAACACATTGCCGCTAGCAAGCGACAAGTCGGTCCAAGTCTTTGTCGGGGGTTTGGCCATTCCATACCCATATCACCTTTAAAATCGCAGGTCAAAACATGTCAAAACCCTGATTTCGTCGGAACAGAATCAACACTTTGTGAGGCGTGAGCTGTTAAACCATCAGTTGTTGGCTAAAATTCGAAGGTTGGAAGGCTTACCGTTCGGCAATTTCACATAGCCACGGAAAATTACGATTTTATAGCTAGGTATATCATCGAACTTTCTATGGCCCATGGCTTCTGATTCTAGTTCGCAACTGTTCACAACTTCCCAGAGGGTAACTTCATCTATAGATTTATTGAGATTTTTAGATTGTATATCCCTTGAATTATCCTATGATTATCCGTTGGATTGTCAAATTACCAGAGGGGAAGCCACATTTTTGCTGCGAAAAACCCGCTGAGGTGAGCCCCGTGAGGTCTCTCCCAGCGCCAGGCAGCTTAGCTGATGGTACCTTGGAGATGGAAAGGGACCTGGAGATTTCACTGGGATCCACCCAGAACTCAGTGATTTAACACTCAGAAATAGTGGATATAGATATACTGGAGATATCATATCTGGTTGATGGTTTCAATGATTCATTTTCAACCATAGAAATTGGATGGCGACCCTCAATGACGAGGATGCTGAAACCACCAACCAGAGTTGGGACAAGAACTGAGGTGAAACTCGAAAACCAAAAGCGAAACGGCCCAAAGCCATTGCAGATGCCCCCAGATTCTTGGCAACAGCGGTTGTGGGGCTTGGGTTGCTGAACATCTTAACATGGAACCTGTGCTACATGTAGATTCTACTTGGCGCGCGCACACCAACGCAAACACAGGCATTTATATGTATGACGAACAGACAAACAAATAGATGGATGGATAGATAGACACACACACACACACACTCTGGGCCCAGGAGCGCCCACACCCACACACACACACATATAATAATATATTAATATATAATATAATATATGCATCAGATGTTTTACAGATATTGATGTCTACATCGTTGCTTCTCCCAGCACTCACTGTGTCACTGTGTCCTCAATGGTTTCAGGCCCCCCCACCGCGGCGAAAACCCCGCCCACCGTGCAGAGAGCCCCGGCGCCCAGCGCACCCGCGCCCAGCGCACCGGAGGAAGCGCGAGGTGCTGTGGGGGTGGCGTTGAGGTGCTGGCGTTGGGGGTGCATCCCAGGGATGTAACTGGGTTATAAGCCACAACTTGGGTATACCTTATACCTTCTTATATGCACACACACACACGCACACACACACACATACATATTATATATATATATATATAAATGTATTTATTATATACTATACTATACCTATACCATACTATACCATACCATACTATATTACACTAAACTATACTATACTATACTATGTTATGCTATGATATGCTATACTATACTACACTACACTATAGTATACTATACTATCCCATACTATACTATACTAATACTATACTATACTATACTTTACTACACTATACTATACCATACCATACTATACTATACTATACTATTAGGTCGCGCCGCCCTTGGGCAACTGGTGCTTTTTGGCGCCTTTTTGTTCTTTGCGCCTTGTGCTCTTTTGTTCTTGCGCCATTATCAGCGAGCGTTGCAAGCTTTGGCCAATTGTTTGAGAAAGTGCAATGGAACATTTCCCGATAAGTTAATTTAAGTTGCCTAAACATAAGTATATATGTATATAATTGTATATATAAATTATATACATTGACATGTGCTATATATATATATGTGTGTGTACGTAAGTGAGAAACATATTTATGTGCATAAGTATAAACAAGACGATATGTACATGTGTATGTATATAATAGTGAAAATAAATGTATATGTATGCACCTGTAAATATGTATATATTATATCTAAATGTGATTATCATTGTGTGACATTGTATATAGATAAATAAATAAATAAATAAAAATAAATATAAATATAAATATAAATATAAATATAAATATAAATATAATATATATATATATATATCACCGAGGCAACCCCGAAGTTCACGAAGCATGCATGACTCGAGCAAGTTCACATGGACGTTAACATCCCCCCCGCCACCCCACCCAAACCCCGAAGTTCACGAAGCATACATGACGTGAGCAAGTTCACAGGGACGTTAACATCCCCCCCACTCACCCAAACCCCGAAGTTCACGAAGCATACATACATGACGTGAGCAAGTTCACAGGGACGTTAACATCCCCCCCCCCACCCGCCGCAACCCCGAAGTTCACGAAGCATACATGACGTGAGCAAGTTCACAGGGACGTTAACCCCCCCCCCCCCCCACCCCAGCCAAACCCCGAAGTTCACGAAGCATACATGACGTGAGCAAGTTGACAAGGACGTTAACATCCCCCACCCACCCAAACCCCGAAGTTCACGAAGCATACATGACGTGAGCAAGTTCACAGGGAGGTTAACATCCCCCCCCACCCCGCCCAAACCCCAAAGTTCACGAAGCACACATGAGGTGAGCAAGTTGATGTGAGCAAATTCACAGGGACGTTAACATCCCCCCCACCAAACCCAACAAGCAATAAAAAAGGGGGTTTCGTGACCAGGTGCCTGGGGGGGGGCACTGGGGTACTATTATTCTATTATATGATACTGTACCATACTATACTACAACATAACATATAACATAAAATAACATGACATAGCATGACATACATACATCCGTGCCATGCATGCATGCATGCATGTATGTATATGTATGTGCAAGTGGGTCACTGGGCTATATAATGGTTGTGAGCCGCTTAGGATTCATGCACATCCAAGTTCAGACCCTTACAGTAGATGGGCCATGGAGGTCATTGGTTAGTGACTGAGCGATTTTATTGTATCTCGTTCAACTGGTCAGTGACTGGGTTGTGATCCAGCTGAGAAGCAGGCAACTAACTCAATTGAGGATAGACTAGGAAAGTTTGGGTTGAACGACTGCGTTCATCTGAGCAACAAGACCTTGAGGATTTCGTTTGCCAAAAGAGGCAAGGTCTTCATCTTCCCAGTAGCACATCAACAATTTGAAGACTTCATTTTAGCAGTGTTAAAATCCCTCTGCCATTCCATTATGCTGGTCGATTACTAGGGGTTCCCAAAATGGCTTATGATCACCTCCAATACATTGTCGTATAAACCCCGAACTAATCAGCAATCAACGATCATTGTATCAACTATATCATACTGCATCAGACTATATCCCCATATTTTTTGATACTTCAACTTCAACCATGAAAAAAACACATTAAAATCCCATTTAATCCCATTAAATTCCTATCATCTAAGCACTGCTCCAGGGCCACGAGTTGAGCTGGAAGCTTTGGTGAAGGAACAAGCGCGGAGGACATCCCAACAAAGGAAGGAACTGGTTAGTAACTGGGGTTAGTTGCAAGCCAGTGATATATATATATATATATAAATTATAAATTATATAAATGGCACATATATATATATATACACATAGGGATTAATGGGATAACTCTAGGACTTGGGCTTACTTTTTGAGATGTTCAAGATTGTTCAAGGCAAAGGTGGATAGGAAAACCGCAAACATGGCAGTGTTGAGCCCGGTCTTGCGGCTACTAACTGACAGTTTGGCTGGGGCCATTTTTGGAGATGTTCAAGATTGTTTTAGGCGACTTGAGATGATGTGCACCAATTAAGAACTTAAACAAATGATAAAAAATAACAGTGCATGGTAAAACCACAGGAAATGTCTTGCTTTCGAGACTGATTGACTACTGGAAATCTGGCCGAATTTGCAGGCCCACCAAAGGTGGGCTATTCGGGGTCGATCAGCCAAGTTCAAGAGCCACAGCACTAAAATGACGAACTGCAGCTTTTTAATTTCAAAAAAAAGTGTTTGTTTGCTGCCCCTGTATTCCTCAGGATATTCAGGATTGAGTTCAGGCTTTTTGCAAAATCCCAGCAATATTTCGTTGGATTCGTTGGTATGTCCATGGTTTCCTGTCCAGTTTTCGACCGAAGCTACAGATGCAGGATCCAAGAGTTGGAAGAACAAAACGCCTTGTTGCGGAGGCCGGCGTGCCAGGGTGGCCCCGCAATGAACTGGGCTATATCATTGGAGAACATGACTTTGTTTCTATAGCACAAAACATACAAAAACTATGCATATGTATCTTCTATACGTATAGTAATATATATATATATATATCTGGGTAAATTATAATGACCTCACTGCGACCTCACTGGAAATCATGGTTAGTAAGGGAAATTTCCCCCAAATGGCCTTAATTCAGGTTAGTGAAATATTATAATTTACCCAGATATGTATGATATTCAATGTAATATGTAGATTGCAAACGCAGCCAGCTGTGGCCTCTCCAAGCACCAGGAAGTTGGAAGCCATAGCGGAACCGCATGCCACGCTGCCGACTGCGAACGCGGCGAACGCGGCGGCTCCAGGCTGGACGGCCAGCACGGTGGAACTGCTGAAGAAGGGCCATGTGATCTGCTATCAGCTGGAGACTTGGTGAAGCTGGACATGGATCTGGGTCTGGGAAAAACCTTGCTTAATCATGTTTAATGGGCTGTTTAATGAATGTATGTATGTATATAAATATATATATATGTATATATATATATATATGAGTAACGGACAAGATTAGCGAAAGACTAAAGTAGTAAGAAGTGGACATGGGATGTTCAAATTTGTGTAAAAAGCTTCAGAACAGATTGGGGACCACCCACTTACCGATACCCTATTTTTTTACATACCATGGAAGTACAAACCTTCACAACCAATAGTGGGTCACCCACTTTTGGCCATGTCCATTGTGAGTAGTAAGTAATTTTGTCCGCCACACGCACACACACACATATCTATATATATATATACATACATACATACAGACAGACAGACATACATACATACATACATACACATACATACATACACGTACATACATACATACACAGACATACATATACACATACACATACACATACACATACATATATATATATATATATATATATACATGCATGCATGCATGCATGCATGCATGCATACATACAGACATACATACATACATACAGACAGACAGACATACATACATACAGACAGACAGACATACATACATACATACAGACAGACAGACAGACATACATACATACATACATACATATACTTGTAGTTTAAGGTTGTATCAATCTTGGATGATATAAACATGAGATGAAATCATATTGAAATCAAATTTTGAACATCCATGCTTCATGAAAACGAGGATATCGATATGATCACCTCGAACACATGCCAAATCTTTCACGTTTGTGAACATGAATGGTCTAGGCAAAAATAAACAATGAGCAAAGTGGTCGATCGCCCCCCATAGAAATGATTGTTTTGTACGGGGAACCATCCCAGAAATGGGAAACGCGTCAGCTTCGTGGCATGTGATCATTGACCCTGAGACCCTGATCAAAAGAACAACCTAACACAAGGATTTGGACATTTGGAAAGTAAAGGTATTTATTCCTACCGATCCTATTGAACCTAGTTTGAATATTTCCGCCAAAAAATGGAGAGAGTGAGACATGGTCTTTTCCAGCAGATTGTTTTGGCGTTTTGAAATTTGAAATCCCGGATATCCCGGAATCTCGCTCCGTGATCCCTGCACTGGGTATCTAAGATTGGCCAAGATTCCCATTGATATACCTTCCAGTAAACACATGTAGATATGGAACAGCCTCATTTGGTGATTTTTTGCGGAAAGGTATTGGTTTTCCCATCTCCTCCGGTTAGTTTACATTCACCCAGCCATAGTTCGATGATTTTCCCAGCTCTAAACTCATAGAATTGGATGGGAAAATTTCCAGGAACCTCCTATATTTGATGATGATAACTATGGTTTCTTGTAGATTTTCCCTTAAACCAATCCATTGATCAACTCCGAGTTCCGGGATTAGGACCTGATCGATGCCTGGAAAGGCACCATGCAGCGGTCGGAGGCCAAGGTCAACGGGGAAGGGTGACCATTGGGAAAACTGAGGTGGAAGGTACCTCCGAAAAAACATCCAAGACAAATAATTAAGGTTTGGAGGATGATTATATGATATTAGAAGTTGTATAGTTATATAAATATATATATATATATGTATACATACATATTTAGCATATTTCCATTGCATTATTTCTTGGATTCTATGGGGTGTAAAAAATTAAGGATCCTTGAAGCCTGTGCAATTTTTCCAGACCTCGGATTTGGAAGATGATCAACCTTCAAGTGATGTGAAAAGGTGACGGCTCTCCAAGGCAGGCTATAGCTGAATATCAAGTATCACCAAGATGACGGTTGAGAGCTTTCAACCGCCATTTCAGGTAGCAAATTTCAAGCGCCTACCACATGTATAAGGCATATGTAAGGCTTAGGTAGGGGGAAATCTGGCTTATACGGTACAGTAACTTCCAGTCACTCTAATTTCCCCTTGCTACCCGCTAGCAATATATAGGTACCGCAAGCACCAAATGCCGAATGTTCGGAACTATCAGAGCTTGAGGTTGGTCCTCTGGTGGGCTCTGCCCGTGTGCCCGTGTGCCCGTGTGCCCGTGGATCGCGGTTGTGCCCGTGTGCCCGTGTGCCCGTGGATCGGGGTTGTGCCCGGGTGCCCGTGTGCCCGGGCCAGCGACAAGTCCAGAAGTTCAGAAGTGACACGCTGGCAGGCAGTTGCAGTCTGTCTTTTGATTCCCCAAACAGTTTGTCCACACTGAGGGGTTCTTACGGTAGGTGTAAAGGCAGGTGCCTGATCTGGGTGCTCCTCACTCTGGTCTGCGGCGTGTTACCTGTAAATTTCCGTATGATGCGGCTCTTGTGACATGTTGAAATGCATTTCGACTGCTCAGGCTCGCGCAAAGTGTATGTCTGCGTTCTGGCCTCATCGGTCTTCCTCCTCAACATCCTCCTCCTCAACACCAACATCTTCCTACTCAACATCAACATCATCATTTTCCTCTCCCTTGACACCAACTTCAATCGACTCCGCGGTACACAGCGGATGTTCCAGCTAGGAATGTTTGATTGGTAATTAAAACTTCCCAGCTGGCATGTCATGACGATGTCCTAGGACTGATATGTGCCCGTGTGCCCATCTATCTGTGTATTGACATCTCTTTCTCCCTCTTTCTCTCTCTCTCTCTCTTTCTCTCTCTCTATCTGTATCGCCGTTTCCCTTTCTACTACTTATTGATTTATCCTTTTGCCTATGCATCTATATGTCTGTGTGTCTGTTTTTCTATCTATCTACCTATCTACCTATCTGTTTGTCTGTCTGTGTGTCAACCGGTTGCCGCAGCGTGATGTCATAGCAGCATGAGCTCGTTGCCCGTGGTTGTAGACCTTGGTGTTTGTTTGACGTTCCTTCTTGTTGCATGACCATGTGTTTGCCTTGTTGTTTGCATACAACTTTGTTCCGCTGTGCTGTGATGCCTTGATCTAATGTTAATTTCGACATACGGCGTTACGGCGCCGTCTGCTGTAGATGGCATGTCGCTGTCCTTGCCGTGTTGTTTGCGCGGAGCTTATTGTCGTTTTTTTGCCTTGATCTCAACTTAATTTCCACATGTGTCGTTTTGGCTCCGTGTACCGTAGATTCCTCCTCCCCCTTTCTGCTTATCAATTTATCCTTTTGCCTATGCATCCATATGTCTGCGTGCCTGTCTTTCTATCTATCTACCTATATCTATCTGTTTGTCTGTCTGTCTGTCTGTCTGTCTGTGTCAACCGGTTGCCGCAGCGTGATGTCATCGCAGCATGAGCTCGTTGCCCGTCGTTGTAGACCGTGGTGTTTGTTTGACGTTCCTTCTTGTTGCATGACCATGTGGTTGCCTTGTTGTTTGCATGCAACTTTGTTCCGCTGTGCTGTGATGCCTTAGTCTAATGTTAATTTCGACATACGGCGTTACGGCGCCGTCTGCTGTAGATGGCATGTCGCTGTCCTTGCCGTGTTGTTTGCGTGGAGCTTATTGTCGTTTTTTTGCCTTGATCTCAAGTTAATTTCCACATGTGTCGTTTTGGCCCGGTCTACCGTAGATTCCTCGTCTCCCTTTTTACTTTTGGATTTATCCTTTTGCCTATGTACCTATCTATGTATCTATGAATCCATGTATCTATGTATCTATCTATCTATCTATCTAATTAATCTATCTATCTAATTAATCTCTCTATCTAATTAATATCTCTATCTAATTAATCTATCTATCTAATTAATCTATCTATCTAATTAATCTATCTAATTAGTCTATCTATCTAATTAATCTATCTATCTAATTAATCTATCTATCTAATTAATCTATCTATCTAATTAATGTATCTATCTAATTAATCTATCTAATTAGTCTATCTATCTAATTCATCTATCTATCTAATTAATCTATCTATCTAATTAATCTATCTATCTAATTAATCTATCTATCTAATTAATCTATCTATCTAATTAATCTATCTATCTAATTAATCTATCTATCTAATTCATCTATCTATCTAATTCATCTATCTATCTAATTAATCTATCTATCTAGTTAGTCTATCTATCTAATTAATCTATCTATCTAATTCATCTATCTATCTAATTAATCTATCTATCTAATTAATCTATCTATCTAATTAATCTATCTAATTAATCTATCTATCTAATTAATCTATCTATCTAATTAACCTATCTATCTAATTAATCTATCTATCTAATTAATCTTTCTTTCTAATTGATCTATCTATCCAATTAATCTATCTATCTATCTATCTATCTAATTAATCTATCTATCTATCTATCTATCTGTCTGTCTGTCTGTCTGTCTGTCTGTCTGTGTGTCAAGCGGTTGCCGCAGCGTGATGTCATAGCAGCATGAGCTCGTTGCCCGTCGTTGTAGACCTTGGTGTTTGTTTGATGTTCCTTCTTGTTGCATGACCATGTGGTTGCCTTGTTGTTTGCATGCAACTTTGTTCCGCTGTGCTGTGATGCCTTGATCTAATGTTAATTTCGACATGCGGCGTTCCGGCGCTGTCTGCTGTAGATGGCATGTCGCTGTCTTTGCCGTGTTGTTTGCATGCAGCTTAATGTCGTTGTTTTGCCTTGATCCCAAGTTAAGTTTCCACATGTGTCATTTTGGCTCCGTCTACCGTAGATTCCTTTATGTGAGCTCGCCGTTATTCCGCGGCAATGTTGTTATTCTTCCGTCATGTTACCTGAGTTTCTTTGATTCCTGCGCCTGTGTGTCCGTGGATTGCTCGTGTGCCCGGGTGCCTGTGGGCCTCTGGACTGTCAGTGTGCCCGTGTGCCCGTGTGCCGGTGTGCCCGTGGATTCCTCGCGTGCCCGTGTGCCCGTGTGCCCGGAAACCCGTGAGGAGACCTATCTCCAGAGCTTACAGGAACACGCACACATACTTTGAAGATAAACATTCTTTGAGCCAGGACGAACCAGGTGGAGCGTGAAGGTTTTTGCTTTCTTGGATCCCGACTGGTTCAAGTTGGGTTTAACTTCTTGTCAGCTTTGATTGCCACCGGTAGTTACTGCCGATGATATCATTGAGATCATTAGTATTACCGTACTCCTGTTTGGATGCACCTTGGTTTGATGCCCACTTGGGTGTCAAGTTTTAGACACGCACGGCAAGAAACACAAATTCCCTTTTGTAAACCAACATGGATGTGGAAAACCTAGAAAAATCATATTTTTTTTTGTATGTTTCCCTGGGAAAACCATCCAAATTCAATTGTTTGGTGCACTGGACATCGGGTGATCCAACGATCTCCAGGTGGCGGTGATCACCAAAGTCTCCCGCAACGCTGAGGGCAGCAAGTGCTTTGTGCTGCGCTGCGAGCGCGGCGGCGTGGATTTCGTGGAAGCCACGCAGCTGCGGAACGTGCAGCTGGCGGCGGGTGCCAACCGTGGATGAGAGATGTCCAGTAGGAGCAGCGTCCTTTGGAGAGGTTTATATGATTGGATACCCTCTGGTTAACATAGCCATGGTGCCCATGGGACATGGCCCATTTACAGATGGGCCCATAAAAATAGACGGTTTACCTATTAAAAATGGTGATTTTCCATGGTTATGTTAAATAACCAGATGGTAATTATATATATGTCTCTGCGTGTGTGTATACACTAAGTCTAGGTCCAGAAAGGACTCCGGGTCATATATGGTCAGATTACTTTAGCTTCGATATCTGAAGGGGGTTGTTTCACTTTGTCACCGGAGATGCTCGAGTTTTGATAATCCTCTCAGGTGGCTGGAGTATATCATATGTTCCAGCTATTTCCAGGTACTGAAACATATACAAAAATCGATAGAGAGATAGAATCATCATGTAGCTCAATAAACCAATGCAGTAAATGCATTGTACAAATATATACCTTCATTTATGGAAATGACATAACGAGTCTCTGATCATGAGAACTAATTTACGAGATCATTCAAGAGCAGCCCAGATCCTGATTCGTTGCATAGCTGCTGTTGCTTGAGCCACTTCCGCTACGATGCGCATGGGACGCTTCCTGCGAAAATATGCTGCAGGGCGCGCTGGTAGATGCAATGGCGAATCGATTCTTTGGGGGAAGATGGTTCCATTTCCGCGGGCCATTAAGAAAAGGATTTCAGCAACAAAATTGAGTGTGAGCAGAACTCATAGATTCATAGATTTTAGTGATAGTAGCTTTGGTCATTAGAGACGGTCTTAGCTGGTCACTGCGATTAGAAGGCTCGAGTTCTAACTGCAACAACCTTCAACTTCTCGGAATTTCCATTTTATCATTGTCCCCAACCCTTGTAACCAGTTCCCAAAAACTCGAAGCAACACTGGTTGGTCGTTTTTTGAACGTGTCTCTTGGGGGTCAGGAGGCTGCTGTGCAAAAAGCTGTGGACGAGGCCATCCACCTTGCCCAGTTTGACATGGGGATGAGTACCTATAAGGTGGGTAAAATGGGTAAAACAATCATAGGAATCCCCTGTAAATGGATTTATGGATTGACCATGGGGGAGAGTATTCCCCATTGTAATAATAAACCATCCCCCAGTCATCAGCATTTTTTTATAGGTCCATAAAACTTACCATTCCCAGTCATGGCTGGTTTATGACATCGTTCCGTTATACCTACATTCTCCATGGGTGAACAATCATTTGCACCGGCTCCCAACAAAGCACGAAATGTTAGGTGGCTCGCCAGTGTGGCGGACGTGTGGATGTCTTGGTGCAAGCAGCTGCCTGGCTGAGGCATTAAACAGACCATTGCATATACGTTTGTATAGGGGGGTTATACTACCCAATTTATTGGGGATTATGATAGGCCACAATAGGGATACCTATTCAATCCTATTAACCAGCTATAACGGGATGGGATCGGACTATGTTTCATGGCTCATGTTGGTACCCGATCTAAGTGCGAGTTATTGAAGATCCCGTGCCCGAAGACACCGACACCATTGTACGTCGTTGACCCCTCCATTTTTCACAGCTATACTATCATGCTTCTTTGCACTTTTAATGGGTCTACTTGCAAACAAATCACCTTCTCAGCAGCCCAGTCGAAATCGAACCACTGCACGAATCCAGGACTTACTCAAACCAAATTCCTAGACCTTCAACAATGTTGAACCTGTATATACTTAAACCAAATCATCAAACATCATACAAAACTTACAACACCCTCCCAGAAGTCTCCAGTTCGAATTTCATGGTCAAAGCCATGCTGGAGCTGAGGCAGGGATCACTGGCAAGACCAACCTGAAGACTCACGAGGTACCGCAACCGCCGTGGGATGCGGCTGAACCTGAACAAAAAAGTCGCGAAGCACCACCGCAGTTTTCAGGGCAAGGGCACATCCTTAAAGAAAGACTAAGAAAGATGAGGGATGAGGGATGATGATGAGGAGGAGGAGGAGGAGAACGAGGATGACGATTTCATGCGGATTCTGTGGATGACGATTTGTAGACTTGACTGCGTGCTGTGCACTGTCTGGATACATTGAAACAACCACCAACCGGACATCATTCGCAGGTTGACGCTGCAGATTTCCAACGCGTCTTCGATGTGAACGTGCGGAAGCTGAGGGATCGTTTTAGCATATTTCTAGCACGAAACGCCAGCGAAAATGTGCCCTCCGATAGTCTGCTTGAATGCGCACCCAGTAGGATTATGAAGTGATAATCCCATTGTTTGTAGGACGTGCCCGAGTTATCCCCAGTTATATGTAGATATTTCACCTGCAAAACGGCACATCTCCCGCCCAGGTCAAGGCCGTATTCCTGTGCGCGAAAAGTGTCCTGCTGGGGAGCTCAGGTGGCCTGGAATGGCAAGACTCAAGCTGCAAAAACAACACATTCCTGACTCTGCAGGCTCCTAAAGTTCTTGAAGTTTCACGGTTTCACGTCTCTATTTGACATATTTTGACATGTCCCTGGAAACATCTGGAAACCATTGTGCTTGGAGCACTTCCCGAATTGAGTGACTTCCCCAGGATTTGGTCTCTGAAAAGTCTGATGGATCTTGTGGTGCTCCGTGCTCCGCAGCCCCAGGCCATTGATGTTGAAGAGCGGCTATGGGCGGATTGCGATTTGACCGCTTTCATCAAGCCCTGGGATGGTTCGGCTCACTCCACCTGACTTTTTGGAGCAGATTTCCGCTGATTCTTGATGTTTGTCGATTTCAAATGGTAAATCCACCAGACATGGGAAATCTGGCAAGTATGGAGCAAGTTAATGGAACAGACTTAAGAACAAAACAAGTTCGTACCCCCTTAGTTTCCCCATTTTCACAGTCGTTTAGCGACATTTTGCAACCCCAGATGCTAAAACCCATGGAAAAAACCTTTCCCGTCTTTGCAGCATCAATCCACTGACTCTAACCATGGATAACCCAGGTTTTCCAAGTCAGAACCAGGTCATAACCATGCTCACAATACAAAGTGGGACGCACATCCAAGCTATATAGCCTTTCAAATCTCTATACATATAAGATCTATTCAGATCTTATATAAATGGCATTTAGATGTACTAACTTTCCAGCCATTGACACCCCATTTTCCAGCCATTTCTTCTGCATTTCCAATGGCCTTTGCGGCTTCTTCCCAGCGGTTTTTCGCGGTTCCCAGGTGAACATCGCCTCGATTTCGGGCAAGGACGGCAATGCCGGGATGTTGGCCTATTCCTCTTCCAAGGCGGGAAACGTGGGAAACGGTGACAGGTTTCATCCTGAATCATGGTGGTTTTTCATGGGATTTAACCAACAAAAATGGTGATTTTAATGGGATGTACCCGGCCTGGTGAACATACAAACATAGCTATGGAAAATGGTCCAGTCGAAATAGTGGATTTTCCCATGAAAAATGGTGGATCTTTCCATTGCTATGTTAGTTCACCAGAGGGTATACATATTACATATATATATAGTGTACAATGTGGGGCCCCCTAGTTATAAGTTGGTTTAGATTCGCCCCAATAACTAGTTCGTTATTTGCGTACCATAAACCATAGTGACATTGGAGTTATAAACCAACTTAGCTATCTAGGGGGCCCCACTTTGTACATTATATATATACACACATATATATATATATATTATCTCTATTTTTCTAATCTGTGTATCGTTATAAATGCGATCATACAGATAGAAATCACTATCATCATCATCATCATCATCACAGAGGTAAACATAAATCTATGATACTATGAATGAAACCGTTGTATGTGCATATATATAGTTATACATATAAATGTTCCAGTTAGATTTCCGTTTCTATCTTGCCTGGCCTTGCTAATATGAGTTCAAGAACTTTTAGACTTTAATCGGAGCTAGGGGGCTCTTCAACCATGGGTATGGTAAAATGGTAAAGTCACTTGCTAAGTGCTTTGGTTCTTTAAGCAGCAGGGGGGTGGTTCCGGATACCCTTTTTGGCAAGAAAAAGAGAAACTTAGTCTTGAATTGAAGGTGGATGCTGGCAATTTTGACGCATTCCAAATGTATTTTTCAACAGTTGCAGCTGTGTCCCAGATTTAAGTTTAATCATGTTTAATCTTTATCAACTTTCTAATCTCTAAGGATGTGTTTCTTCCCTACTTCCCACTCACTAACTTGAGGCTTCCCAACCATCCCAAGCATCCCAAGCAACATTTGGGTCTCTGAAGAATGCGAAATATATCATGATATATCTATACACCATTTCCCCATCACTTCCCCTATATATTATCATTATTATACACACCATTTCAAGGAAAGGAAATTGAAGGTTTGAAAAGTTTGAAACCATGATTTTTCTCGATCAGCCAGGCTGCAGTGATCAACCTCACCAAGGTCATGGGCAAAGACTATGCCACCCTGGGCAAGGCAGTGCGGTGCGGTGTGACTAGTACCCTCGGTTTGATTACCAAGGGGTAAATTACAGTTATATTATGTCATATTATATACACATAGTTTTGAAGGTATAGCGGTATGACTCCCCATTTTCAGACACATCCAATTTGGGTTATCAACGGACGAAGATACGAAATAAACGAAATAACTAACGTCTAGCAGAAAAACGACTCCTTTTGCGTCGGGCCTATGGGTTTCGAAGGTTAGCCATGAACATGAATGGGGATAACATCGATGGTCCATGTGGGAAGAACCATACGGCTTGGTGGAAACCAGCCATTTTTGCCTAACATTTCAGCAATTTTCAGCCAGAAAATGACCAGGACATCACCGTGAACTGCATTGCACCGGCGGTGGTGCAGACTGCGTGAGAGTCCTCAGATGAGGTGATCGTTGCTCCCATGGGTCAATGATAGGAACAAGGGTGTTGGATATTCCCCCTTGTACCTGGTGTGTTTGGAGCAATCATGAATGTGGTTTCCTCTGAACATTTGTGGTTTAAAACATGGGAAACCACTGAAACCACCCAGTTTATCGCATGGTTTATCACATGCCAATATCTGCCAATTTTCAGACTGATGCGGTCATCCCCTTTTCAGACCATGGGGATGACTTAAAAACCACGGTGAAACCTTGGAGATTCATCCTGATTCATCTTCACCCCACCAGCAAGATTGGGGGTCGGAAGATGGTTGGTTTCAGCATGTTTGAATTCTGAGTTTGTTTTCATTCTTCACTTCTGGAAGATCCGAAAAGGATGATGCTATGCGATTCGTGGTGACCATTTCAGAATTTCGCAGAACAACTCTTTTGCTGCCAGTTCCCGGGTTCAAAAGTTACCCTCTGGTAAACTAACGTAGCTATTGAAAATGGCCATTTATAGTGGATTTGCCCATTAAACATGGTGATTTTCCATAGCTATGTTAAATTACCAGAGGGTATGCCTTGCCAGGCCCCTTGCCATGTATCAGTGGGGCTGTGATCTGCGATCGCGATGATAGTGGCCTTAGTGGCCCATGGAAATTGGTCACAAATAATATTGTACCTTATTGTACCTTGATTTATAGAACCCTACTAGACTGGAAACTCTCAATAATATTGTACCTTCTCACATTTCGATACTTCTAATTTCAAATATTAAACACATCTCGGATTTACCTGGTTTTTTGGTACTGGATTTATTCATGTTTGGACACTGGGCAGCCACATTTAGCACCAAGTATCCACAGGTTCCCACCACAGAAACCCCATCCATTGCCATCCTCGGCTGGCCAAATCTACCCGACTAGGTAATCAAACATGGCTAGCTGTGAACTCTATCCATGGAGTTTCAACTTGAATGTCCTTTACGGTAATGGGAAAATCAATCGAGCATGGCGGCTTTTCCATTACGCCATGTTTGATTACCCTGCATGTCTTGTCGATTTTTCAAGCTAGAACCATATCGAAACATATCAACACATCCATTTGATAGAAGATGTCCATGGATTTCAAGCTATATATATATATATATTCAACCAATTTTAACCATAAGAAACCCTCCATTGATTAGAGGATCTCCGACATCTTTGAATGGGAGCCGTTTTTCAAGGATGGTGGACGCCATGCCTCCAGAGCAAGTGAAGCCAGCGGAGCAGAGCCAGCAGAGCTAGTAGAGCACTAAACCTGGGGTCACACTGGTTTTTCATGGTGGTTTTTCATGGTGGTTTTTCATGGGATTTAACCAACAAAAATGGTGGTTTAATGGGATAAAAAACCAACAAAAATGGTGGGTGATTTTAATGGGATTTTTGCCCTCTGGTAATTTGTTACGTAGCTAATTGAACATGGCCCAGTCGAAATAGATATTGATAGTGAGTCCCATTCGAAATGGTGATTTTCCATAGTTATGTTAGTTTACCACAGGGTATATAGAAACATGATGATTTCACTGGGGGGAAAATATGGATAAATATTGAGGTCTCCTAAAAAGCATGGAGGTTTCCAAAGTGATGGGGGTACCCCACATCATCCGAGTTTATGGGTTACCAATGGTTTGGGGTACCCATTTCTTAGGAAACCCCTAGAAAATTGTGATCTCACTGGGGGGAACTCACATTCAAAGGAAGGAAACAGACAAGGAGCTCTGGTTTAGTAGTCGATGGGTTCATTTCGAGGTTCCATTCCGGGGGTTTTCCCATTTGAGGGATGGGATTCGTGAATCCTGGATGAAGACTGGCTGCTAGCCAATAACAAGCCCGGTCCGCTTCGGCTTCCTAACATCATGGCTTTTAAGATCCCTAGCAATGGATATTCGAGGATCCCTAGCAACGGATGTCCGAAGCCTGGTATTGATTAGTTACCTAAAATTATATTGTGATTTTCCTGATATGTGCCAGATTGGTTGAAAACCTTCAGGATGTGGCAGCCTGCCAGAATACATACGAAACTGACAACATTCCATGGGTTCTTGGCCCGTCACGTTAGGGGTGGACATCCAAAATAGATCAAAATAGTCAATAAGGATCTAACTGTGCAGCCCAAATCACCACTAGAACGCATCCGTGTTTAACATGTGGCAATTATAGATAACTATATCTTATGATCCCTAGTAATGGGGTAGCTAAGAATATGCCACAGGTTGACCAGGTCCCTGTCGCCCCTGGTCCCGGTAGGTACATGACTGACAAGATTCCCATGGGCCGCACTGGCAAGCTGCATGAGGCGCTGGATCATGCTGGATCCGGGAGGTTGCTTCGACATGTCACAGATGGATTTACAGAAAACTGAAATATAGCGGACTCCGGCGATTTTTTAATTATAACTATATTATATACATATATATAGAAGCCAGTTCTGGGATTTAATCTGCAAACATGTCAACCAGAAAGAATGGGACCCGCATAGGAATTGAGGAATGGTATCGCCTCATTTTTCATTCCAGTTGTAACGTGTTCGGCTTCCAGAAAATTTCAGAAAGGAAGTCCATCATTAGTTCATTGGATCATTTATGATCATTGATTTTCCCATCATTTTTTCCCAATTTCAAGGGTCATCTGGTCATCTTCTCCCTGCAGGATGGTGCCCCCCAGTTATAAGTGGGTTTATAAACCCCATTAACTATAGTTATATCTGGCATAAACCATAGTTATGGGACTTATAAACCAACTTAGCTAACTATGGGGCACCACCTTGTGGAGGTCCCTCGATTTTTCTCTGGGGACCAGCCGTGACCAGCCCATCTTTTTCGAAGGTGGCTGCCACGGTGCTCTTTGCGGCCTCCAGCGAGTCTTCCTTCACCACCGGATTTTGCCCCACGGCTTCCGAGGTGATCCGCATGGGAACCAATGGTGATGCCATGGTTACTCTCAGATATATTGCTTCAATTGGTTTTCAATAAGGCGGGTTAGGTTTTTAAGCTTCAGACTATGGTTAGTAGTGGTGATTGTTTGGGTTTAACATGGTTTAACCAGGTTTAACCATGTTTAACCTCATTGATTATGAATTCACAGATTTGGAGATTTGCGTTTTTTTTTTTGAAATTTAAGCATCAACAATGGGGATTCCATGATGGGGATGATGGTAATCCTGTGGTCCGACCTGGCGAGCAAAAAAGGAGCTTTTCCAATGGAGAATCCTCCAGGAAAAAGGGAGTGCTGCGGGTTCTTTTGGACAGGTGGAACCTCTAGTCATATGCCTTGGGGAGCCACGGGGGTATTTTGATGTATTTTGCCCTTGAGGTTGAGACTTTGAGACATCATCCTTTAGTTACTTTAGTTGTTAAAAACTCGGTTCGCCCCTCCAAACGATGATCTTTATAGTTGATGATGGGCACTTCCTACTCACAGTCACATATGGAGCTCCATTGTGAATCTGCAAGCAACCAGTGTATAGTTGGTTCATGTTGGTTCATGTTGGTTCACATCAGTTACCCTCTGGCAAACTAACAGGTTGCGAACTGGACAATCACCATTTTTCATGGGTAAATCCACTATTTCGACTGGGCCATTTTCAATAGCAAACTGTTAGTCATTACCAGAGGCTACATCCCATTAAAATCACCATTTTTGTTGGTTAAATCCCATGAAAAACCACCATGAAAAACCAGTAGGAGTATGACTTATGGCCTGGCGAAATGGCCTCCCAGTTCCGAGGTTTTGACGCGAGCGGTGGACGAACCGTGTACTGAGTGGACCGGCTGAACCGCGGCCAAGCCGAGAGCCTTGGAACCCCAACATGGAGCCAACGCCTTGAAACGGAAACATCCTGGTGGTTCATATCGATTCGTAGGGACTAATGACTAGGGATTAAACATTTTTTACCCAGCATAATTCTGGATGAATTGTAATGACCTCACGTCGTGACGTTACTGGAATGATGGTTAGCAAAGGGGAATCATCCCTTTCTTCCAGCTACTTTCGGGCCAGTGAGTTATTCTATAAATATATAGTTCAACCGGAAACACCACCTTGAATCAAACATGGGAAGATTTAAGCAACAGTTTTGTTGGATGATGTTATTTTCATCCTTTCATCGTTGGCAGGGCATCCAAGGCCGCTGCTTGGAACCATCCCATTGATGGAAAAAAGTGGGCGGTAGCCCGCCTGGGATTTTCGGGATGATGTAGGGGTATACCGGGTATGTAGATCTTGACATGTCATTGTTTCAACATGTTTCAACATGTTTCAACACATCTGATTGGTGCTTTGGAGCATGTTTCCATATATTTTCCCATTCACTTGGGAATGTCATGATCATCAGATCCCAACCCCAACTATTACTCACTCCATCATTTTTTCAGGAGGGGTAGGTCAACCACCAACCAGACATGGGACATGGGGATGTGACTTAAAAATTGCCGTACACGGCATGTTTGCCGAAAAAACGCGGGGTGCGGTTGTTCTCATCATGCCGCGATTTATAAATATAGATTTGTTTTTTTTTTAAATAAATAGTTTAACAAAACAATACTGTAATAATGATAATTAATAATAATAATAATGAAAATGATAAAAACCAGTAATAATAATCTGGGTAAATTGTAACGACCTCACTGCGACCTCACTGGAAATCATGGTTAGTAAGGGAAATTTCCCCCACATGGCCTTTATTCAGGTTAGTGAAATATTATAATTTACCCAGAATAATAAATAGATATAAATATAAATATATATATATATAGATAATTACACACACACATATATATATATATATGCACGGACTATTATAGACTCATTGGTTAATGTTTCCCCGGATTAATAACCCCCAGTTTATTAGTATGGGGGGTTCCCAAAATGGTGATATTTTCCTATGTAACCGGTACCCTCCCAAATAGTAAGTGAGGTTTATTCATCCTGGGTTGATATGGTCAGGAACCAATCCATTTGTGCTTCCTGGCCTGATTCAAGCACAGGGGCATGTAGCGGCAAGATGCAGCAAGACAATTCCAAGGTTAAAGGAGGCCCACCGGCCCAGCTCTGCCAACTTTCTCTTTTCTTTTACCGTCTGCAACAACCACTGGTGCAGATGATCTTAGATTATGATGATGTGAAAGGGTGGAACATTTGGTGGCAGAATGGCCAGAGATGCCAACCTCAACAAGTATCAAACCAAGCGATCAAGTTTTGACGCCCTGGACCCAAGACCTGGGCACAAAGGGCAAGACGTGGCGGGCTGGTGGCTCAACCACTAAGCACGTGTATATGTGTATCTGTGTAAGTCTATGTGTTTGCACACACACACATATATAGTATATAATAATAATAATAATACTACTAATAATAATAATAATATATATATATATATATATTATTAATACATACATATACATATATATATATATATGTGTGTGTACAGTAAATATAGGTATATTATAGATAGATGTTCACAACTGTTTTAAGACACACACACACATGCACGCGCACACACACACACACGCACGCGTGCACACACGCACGCATGCGCACCCGGACTAGTCCTGATCCCGAATGGTGTGTTATGGGCATTGTGGATGCAGGCTGTTACATCATCAGGCTTTAGCTTCAGGGGTGTCAGCAGCCACACTTCGAGCTGATTCTTGACCTTGTAAGACTGGCTTGAACTCCTTGGCCCTGAACATTTCATAGTTGAATATTGATGTTTCTTCTTTATTTGCATTCCAATACTAAACGGCTCTTAACAGCAAACCTGCAGATAAGGCTATCAGGGTATATATATATATAACAAATTTGAACCTGGTGGGTCTAGCCCATCAAATCCCAACTCGCAGGCACTCCACCAGGCATGGCTTGTTATTGCGGCATAATCACAGGAACAAATCTATGGAAGGGGCGCATCATTCTCTGGTACATGGATGTGCATCCCAACTATACATGCGATATACCGCCTTATGTGTGGTCTATCAGATTTGATGCATACAGTATATGATCGCACTGTATATTTTTTTTGAACATGGCATATGTTACATGCATTACCCCACACACATACGCATGACATATAATATATATATATAGAATTTATAGCTGGTTGGTGGTTTCAAAGATTTTTTATTTCCATAATATATGGATATATATATATGGGATACTCCCAACCCCATTGACTTTCATATTTTTCAAGATGGTTATTGCACCACCAACCAGATAGGCCAGTCCGCCAGGTCATGTGGCATCCGCCGGAGTCACTTGGCATATCTTGAAACTCGCGAGTTTCACAGGAGCCATATGGTTAAAACAATAAACCATACCCAAGTTTACAATAAATCTGTGATATAAATGAGATGAACCATCTATTTTTTTGGGTGGTTTATGATGGTTTAAACCACATTATTTTTTTTTGGGTGGTTTATGATGGTTTAAACCACATTATTTTTTTTTGGGTGGTTAATGATGGTTTAAACCACATTAAATAAAAAAGGCCTTTCACATTTTTCACGCACACTCTTCCCAGAAGGATCAAAGCTCGATTCTAGATTTTTCGTCCTCTACCACATTTTATAGTCACATGCAGAATTGAGCTGGCTATACACCCGCATCAATACGTATTCTTATATTCCCTGAGAATACCCAATTAGGCTTTCCATCCATGGCCGCAGCCGCTCCTGCTTGAGGTTGGGCTATGATGGTCTGGCAATCAATACCCGCCTGCAGCCCAGAATCTCTACACCCTACAAAAACATCCTGTCGGGGGGAAAACCGCGCCAGCGGTTGTGAGCGTTTTGAAAAAAATGTTGTTTTCGCCATAGCGAAACTATTGATCTATTCCAGAAAAAGTATGAAAAAGTGACTAACATTCCCTGGGATTTTTCATTGATTTTTTGATCAACTCCCGCACGGTGTTTTCCTCCTTTGACATGGCCATGCGCTTCTGCAAAGAGCGACCAGTGATCTCCAAATGTTTTTTTTTTGCTTTGGAGATCATCCAACGCCATTGCCAGACCCTGATGCTTCGCATCAGCTTTGGGTTCACTTGGCCGTTGCCAATTTTGACAGCCACATTGCATCGACTCCACCTGTGTGGATTGGAACTGTCTTATTTCTAATTTGTTTCTTGATAACACCCCTTTCCAGGAATGAATGGATGTGCTGCTTCGATTTCTCCTGGACACTGGCAGAAAAACATAACATATATTATATATATAGAGATATATCTTAAACTGTATTAAACATAAAAATAAAAGTATGAACACATATATTATATAACATAGCACACACACACATATATATAACATATATGCTTTTAAATGTGCACACATATATTTTAGAAGATAACAAATATATAACACATTGAACCATAACCTTACATAATATATATATATATATGCATATTTCAAAGATCATACATATATTACATAACATTATATTCTATATAACATATCTTTTTTAAACCGCACCATATATAAAAGATAATTTCTTATATATATATATGTCACAAGACCAACAAACAACATAACTCAACATATGACATATTGGATATGTAGCAATATATACATATATATATGTATAACATTTACGTCATTTAAACAAAGGGGCAAGTTGACATGAACGTCAACACACTTCCCCCCCACCCCAAACCCTGGCGTGACGTTGCGGCAAGTTGACATGAACGTTCACACCCCCCCCACCCCAAACCCTGGCGTATCCTGGCGTGACGTAGCATGTGCGTGTTTTACAAAACTTGCACGACTACTGGCGCGGTTTTCCCCCCGCTGGCAAAAACGTGGCAGGATTTGCAAACTACAAGGATATTTGCAGTGAAAAACGTAATGGTGGATGATGATCATCATGATGATGATGATGATGATGATGGTGGTGATGATGATGATGATGAGTCTTTCGGTCGTGGTGATATGGCTATGAGGGCTCGCACCTGTATCCAGGTCTTTTTTTTCTAGATAGACTGTGGGCTAATCACGGGCCATATCAAACACATCCGGACTTGATCCAATGTGTGTTTGAAGTCTACAACAAGACGCAAGACCCAGAAACGTGAGAAACATCGCAAACCAAGAACCAATGGCAATAAAGCATCAGTTCAACCATTTCAAACCACACAGTGTGGTGCCCCATAGTTAGCTAAGTTGGTTTATAACTCCAAAAACTAGGGTTTTGGGGGTTATATCTTTACAGAGGGGCATTAGAGACCAGCTTTTAACTGGAAAAACACCACCTTGTGTCAAGCCATATGCCCCAAAACCATCCATGTTATGATAACACTGTCCATGAAATAAATCATCCATTTTCGAGTACCCCCCCATTCATGGAAACCCTTGGATCCCAGTTAGAAAATATAAGCCATCAGCTGGGATACTGGATCCTATTGGATTTATAAGCCATGGGGTATCCCCAGTTATATTGCCCTCTGGTAAACTAACATGGCTATGGAAAATCACCATTTTTATTGGGAAAACTCACTATAAATGGCAATTTTCAATAGCTATGTTAAATTACCAGAGGGTAAACCATATCAAGCCATGATGAACACATGGCTATGCTACGAGGCTTGCCGAGACAGTCTACACCTCCTTCGCGCTCCACGAGGCGGAGAGATACCCCGATTGATCAGTGATTGTAGGGGATTATACTACCTGGTTCAATGGGGATGATAATTCATGGTAGGGAAAGCTATCAACCAAAAATGGAGAATGATAAGATCATATAGGTTACATATGGGATGCACGATCGACAAAAACTCTGGATGTGGTAAATCCAAAATCTATGGATGATTGATAATTGTAATGGATACCCTCCTGTAAACCAACAAGGTAATAATGTTAGTAAAGCAACCAAGAACCACCCATATTTTGGTTTATCCATTTGTAGTAAAATATGGGATGCTATTTGATGGGATATATTACCTGGTAATTTCCTGTATAGATACGTAGGATAATCATAGAATAATATGGTTTACCCTCTGGTAAATTAGCAGTTTGACTGTAAGTGCCCCATGTTTGGTAGAAACTAATCTTCCAAATGCACCCTGGCAGCGTCTATGTTAATTTACTGGACGGTAACAAAGTTAGGATATAAAGCAATCATAAACCACCCATGTTTTGGTTGATACCACTCATTTAAGCTGAAATTGGGATGGTGGATCCTATTGCCTTATTGACATTAAGGGGATAGTATGGGATATATATATATATGGGATAAGTCTATAATCTGTACATCCACAGATGGGATACCCTCCTGTAAACTAGCATAGATGTGGCCAATCACCATTTTAAAAGGTAATCATCTATGAAGAACAGCGGGATTTCACCAGCATCACCAGCCAAACAGGGGGACTCACTTGGACCAAGCATCCCCAAGATGCAAACGTGTTTGTTTGGCGAATGGTTGAACAACAATACCCTCTGGTAATTTAACATAGCGAACTGGAAAGATCCACCATTTTTAATGGGAAAATCCACTATTAATGGTCATTTTCAATAGCTACGTAACAAATTACCAGAGGGTACATCTAGCATTATCTGTTTGTATGACATATACGAACGCACATCTTCTCATCTCTCTCTACGTCGCTCATATCATATCGTATCGTATCAAATCATATCATATCCTATCGCGTCGCATCACATCACATCACACACACACACCACACACACCACACACACACACATATCACACACATCACACACATCACACACATCACACACACCACACACATCACACACATCACACACATCACACACATCACACACATCACACACATCACACACATCACACACATCACACACATCACACACATCACACACATCACACACATCACACACATCACACACATCACATATCACACACATCACATACATCACACACATATCACACACACATCACACACACACACACATCACACACACATCACACACACATCACACACACATCACACACACATCACACACACATCACACACACATCACACACACATCACACACACATCACACACACATCACACACACATCACACACACATCACACACACATCACACACACACACACCACACACACATCACACACACATCACACACACA